CCAGAATGGCTTCTTTCATGCTTTCGGAGATTACTGGAACATGAAAAGGCTTTACCACACTGATTACATTCATAGGGTTTCTCCCCAGTATGGATTCTTTTATGAATTCGGAGAGTACTTGGACGTGAAAAGGCTTTACCACACTGATTACATTCATATGGCTTCTTTCCAGTATGTGCTCTTTTATGCATTTGAAGAGTACGCTGACGTGAAAAGATTTTACAACATTGATTACATTCATAGTGTTTCTCTCCAGTGCATGATCTATTATGCATTTGAAGATGACTGTGATGTAAAAAGGCTTTACCACACTCATTTTCTTCACAGGGTTTTAATCTAGTATATGTTTTTTCATGCCTGTCAGGATGACATGCAAAGGCTTTAACACATTGAGAATATACAGAAGTTTTCTATCTAGTTTGACTTTTTTCATGCCTACAATGACAATGGTACATTTGAAAGAATAACTACATTTAATACATTGTTGAATATTTTTATTTGTATAAATTAATTTTACAATTTAGTACTATTTTAAAGAAGAATTATATGTTAAGGTTTTATCACCATGTTTACAATCTTGTTTTTCCCCTTCAGTAAGGCATGTTTTTCATCTTTGAGAATAACTGAAAACAGTCTTTATTACATGGTTCACATTTACAGAATCTTTTTTTTTCTGTATGAGAATTTTCATATATTTGAAGAGAACTGAAAAAAATTCAGAACTTTACTCTTCTTATTGCATTCATAACGTTTCCCACACTGTGAGTGATACTACATTCATTAAGTGAACTAGGACAAACAGAAGTTTTTACACAGTCCTAGTGCTCATGGTGCTTTTCTGAAAAGTGAGCTTGTTGAAAAATTAACAATGAGACTAGAAAACCAATTACTTGTACATTTGTACATCAAATTCAACAAGTATACTCAACATGGGGACTGTTACAATTCTTCTATTTGTTCTGAGAGAGGGGTATATTATATTTTTTCACATCCCTATATTCATGTGGCTTGTATCCAGAGGAACATATGAAATACTTAGTAAAGGAAGAATACCAAATATAAGGCTTCCACATTGAGTTCACAGTTTGACTTTCTGTTCTAATAGACTTGTGGTATCTGGATTAAGGCCTCTCTACAACAGCTGACACGTGATTCATGACTCTAACTACCCCTTCACAAAACTTAACACAGTCACAAGTATATGGGTTAAACTACCTTTTCTATAGAATATTAGTGTAATAGAGAGATTCAGAGATATACTTATAACCTTTTCAAAATGTATATCTTTTATAATATGAAAAATATGAAATAAATGCATTGACAATTTTACAGTATAGCTCATTATATTATGAATCAAATGGAAATATAGGTTAAGGTATTGTTTCCTTAAGTTCTTTCTTAAAAGAATGACTGTGAAATGTAATTCACCTATCTGAAATTTAGGTATATGATTTTGTGATAGTTTAATAAGCACCAATGCATTTTATTATGTACATTGTTGTTTTGGTTTAAAACATATAGGATACATTAAAATTCTTCAGGGGTATATCTGTATCAGCTTATACATGGAAATTACCTTTTATGTCTTCTAGAACATTGACAATGTTTTTCAGTATTATGGTCTTCCCAATTATATCCTAAAATATAGTGCCAGAAAAATGTATGTTATATATTAAAAATTGTAAAACATTTAGTTACCATTTGAAGCAAGACTTAAAACCATATCTAACTTCTTTACCCATCCTTCTTTCACAATTATATTACAAAAGAGCATTATTAACCAATGAATAGTTGTCCCCTTATTTGAAACATAAAAGATAATTCAGTCTTACCTATAGCAGTGAGGTTTCTGTAGGTCTCCACCATCACATCTTTGTAGAGACTCTTCTGGGAAGGATTCAGCAAGGTCCATTCTTCCCAAGTGAAGTCGACATGCACGTCATCATAGGTCACTGCATTCTAAAATCCCATACATGTTTACAACAGAAAGTATGATTTTGACAACACTGTAAATATATACTTCTTTGACAGTATAGTCAAAGAATTCTGGTGCTCCCCATATTTATTCCATGACATAGACATCATAATTTAATCACCAAGTCACTTTAGAAGCAATCCGAATACGAAGTTCACCATTGTCATTTCTGAACCCATTGAATGGGATATCACTTTGCAAGAAAAATGCCTACTAACCAACAATGAAAGATATGTAAATAGATCAACAGTACAGAATACAGATAAGAGAGATTGTATGAATGATTAATTTCTAACTACAAAAAAGAAAAATAAGATGAAAAAGCTGGATGCATTGCGTCATCTAATCCAAAGACTCAGAAGGCAGAGGCATGTATGTCTATCTGCCTCTGAGTTGAATACCAGCCTAGTCCACACAATCACTTCTATGGCAGCCAGACATACATGTTAAATACCTCTTTCATATGATAAAAATCAATCAAACATAAAAGTTAGAAATAACTCATAGGCTTTTGCTAAAGTTTCTACAAAAGTTATGCATTCACTTCAACTCTTTATTCATCTACCAGAAATCTGAAGTTCCCCAATTTAAACTGAAACATAAATAAGATTTTACTAAAAGACACTGTGTGTTTAAAAAGTTACAAATAGACAAATGAAAATAATAGCAATTAATATGCTGATTACAAATAATGAACACAGAGCAGGAAAGATGGCTCAACAGTAAAAAGTCCTCTTGGTGTTGAGTACCTGTGAACTCAAGGACTTCCATGGAGGATCATATCTATCCATTATTCCAAGGTCAAGGTTTCTAGTAACATTTTTTTGATCAATGTAAGGACCAGGTACTCACATGGTGCATATCCATTCATATAGGTTAAATACTCTTTTTAAAATAAAAATTAAAAACAAACAAAACAGTCAGAAAGAGGGTTATGCACCTGCAATCCAATGACTCAAAAGACACAGGCAGTATTAATGTCATGAATACATGCCATCCTGGGAAAAATAATGATACCCTCTGTAAAATTTAAAATTTAAGATATGGGTAAAGTTCACTACAACAGCATATGCTTGATAAAAACAAAACCATCATACAACAATAGTGAGTACTCCTAGTAATCAAGAGTATGGAGGCTGAACTAGCCATCTTCTGTAACCACATAAAGCTCCCAGTGGGACTGGGACACCAAGCCAACTGCAAAGTATTCAACCCACACTTGTACTACCTGCAAGATATGCTGGGGCACTGGTGACTCAGAGCTTTCTTAGTGGCGAATAAATGACTGGTCTAACTTGAAGCCCATGTTGGGAGAAGAAGCCCATAACTGACACTGCCTAGAGGGTAAGGAACTAAAACTCAAGAGGTTCAGAGAACAAGGGTAGAACCAAATACAGCTGACCAGAAAAAATATCAATAAAATGATTTTTAACTATTTCCTGCTATAATCTTAGGTTGGTACTTGGCCTACTTGTTATAAAAGAGGCTTCTTCCAGGGGCTGATGGAAGCCCATGCAGAGATCCCTAACCAAACATTAGCTTGAGCTCTAAGAATTTTGTAGAAGGAGGGTGTGAGTGAGTATTGTAGCATTCAGTGGTTGAGGAAATAAGGAGAACATAGCCCACACAATCAAGTATGACATATAGTGCCTCGAAGAAGCTGATGTAGCAATTACAGAGTCTGCATGGCTGCATAATGCTACAGTTGTTTACTTTGGGATGATAGTGAATCTCCTAACTGTAGGAGCCATGGTGTCTCTGACTTTTTTGTTTGTTCTTAGGACCCTTTTACTTCTATTGCATTATGTTGTCTAGCCTTGAAAGAAGAGTTTGTGCCTAGTCCTATTGCACCTTGCTATGATTTATTTGGTTGATATCCCTGGGAGGTCTGAACTTCTGCACTTTTTTTTTCAAGGGAAAAGGAAGCAGTGGAACTGGGAGTATGGGGATTTGGTGGGGGAGGAACTGGAATAAGAAGAGGAAAAGGAGAAATCAATCAGGATATATAGTATGAAAGAAGAATAAATACAAATAAAATAAAACTGCATTTAGTATAAGTTCAATGATCCTTATAATCTGTAGCAGCCCAAAGATCACAAATGTCGAAAGGCTCTTCTGACACTTAAGACAATCTCCTGACTGTCACATGTTGTAAAATAAATAAATATTTACAACATATAATGGCACAGGACATATTCCCATTCATAAAAAAAATGGGAATATGACTGTGTTACAGATCCCTACTTAGGCAGACTCATGTGTATGTCACACCAGTCAGAATAACAGATAGGCAGACCACAAGCTCATGAAATTTCCACACTCCCTGCATTCCCACAAACACAATCCTCTACCAACCCTACAGCTGCTACCCCCAAACCATGAACCCACACCTATATCAGATGCATAACCTCTGCTCAAGTGCAGGCCACAACAGCCAAAAAAACAGGTAGGAAAACTGAAGTAAAGACTCTGCTAGATCAGAACCTATGTCAGTCACCAGAAATTCACTGAGGTTTGTCTGTGTACCTCCTCCATTCTTTTAATAATCCCAACACTATACCCAATCCCACTTCCCTCCTCTTCTCTGTGCTGTAGCCTTCAACTTGGGTGGAGACTCACACACTATCTGCAAGAAGTCTATGTAGGCCACCTTCCAACTGACCTTTCTCATTCTCTCAGTCTCCCTCAACACTATCTCCAAGTTGCCTACCCTCTCCTCCCCTTTCAGGCCCAAACATGGGCAGACACTCCCTGCTGGAGCAAAGGCCACACCATCTCTAAGATTTCCAGCCCTAAATTGGGATGAGAGCCCCTGTTCAACCATAGGCCACATAGAGCAGAAAACTAGAGAGCAAATAGAAACCAAGGAGCAAAACACCCATGCAACAAAGACAAACTGAGAAATTGGCACCTAGACCCACAAATACCTCAAACCCTGATACCTGGACACCAGCATAAAAACACAGTCAACAACAGCCAAAGCAATAAGTCACTACCAGATTCCAGCTATCCTACTACTGCAAGCCCTGAATATTCCAACCCAGTTGAAGCACAAGTAAGACCAACTTTATAAAGATAACAGAAGTCCTTAAAGATGAAGTAAATGAATCCCTTAAAGAAAGCAGAGAAAGGATAAATGAAGTATTGGAGAAAATTAATAAACCCCTTAAAGAAAGCTAAAACATAAACAAAGAAACAGTTGACAGAAAAAAAATGAATCTGTTCAAGACCTTAAAATAGAAATAGGAGGAATTAAGATATATGAACTGAAGAAATTGTGAAAATGAAAACCTAAGTAATCAAATAAGACCTACAGAGGCACACTTCACCAAAAGAAAATAAGACATTCAACAGAGAATTTCAGACTTCAAAAGCATGATCAATGAAATACATGTATTTGTCAAAGAAAATGTTAAACCTAAAATTTCCTAAAAGATAACATTCAGGAAATCTGAAACACTAAGAAAAGACCAATACTAAGAATAATGGGAAATGGAGGAGAAGAATCTCACCCCAGAGGCAAAGAAAAAAATTTCAAACAATTTCATAGTCAAAATCTTTCCTAACTAAAATGACACAGGAGAGCGCAGCCCACAGAATCAACTAAGTAGGGCTCATAGGAACTCATAGAGACTGAAATAGCAATCATGGAGCTTGCAGGAGTTTGCACCAGGTCCTCTGCATATGTTATCATTGTGTAGCTTGGTGCTTTTGTGCAACTCCTAATAGTGGGGTGGGGGGTGTCTCTGATTCTTCTGCCTGCTCTTGGAACCCTTTTCCTTCTACTGGGGTGACTCATCCAGTCTTTGATATGTGCCTACCATATCAATTTGCTATGTATGGCTTTATTGATATCTCAGGGAAATCTGCTCTATTCTGAAGGGAAATGAAGACTGAGTGGATCTGGTGGAGAAGGGAGTAGTGGAGAGGACTGAAAGGAATGGAGGGAGTTGGGATAGATTATAAGAAAAGTGATGTGTGATGTCCTTTTGTATAAGTGTTGCTTTTATTGGTTAATGAATAAAGCTGCTTTGGCCTATGGCAAGGCAGAATATAGCCAGGCTGGAAGAGATATAGAGAGACAGTGGGCAGAGTCTAAGAGATGCCATGTACCTGCCTAAGCACAAAGACACCCCAGAAGCTTATCAGTAGGCTATAGCCTCATGGTGATACAGAGATTAATAGACATCGATTAAGATGAAAGAGCTAGTTATTAAGAAGCCTGAGCTAATAGGCCAAACAGTGCTGTAATTAATATAGTCCCTGTGATTATTCAGGTCTGTGTGCCCGGGAAAAGAATAAGCAGTCTCTGTTTACAAGAAGAATAAATTTTGAAGAGAGCGAACTGAGGACACAGTGAGGGAAGATTGGTTCACAGGAACACTAAAACTCAATAGGGCAAACAACAAACCCTTTAGCTCTGCCTCAGACAGGTGGGCATTCATTTTCAAAGAACTTAGATAGCACTATCTATGAAAAATTATATATATATATATATATATATATATATATATATATATATATCCTTTGCTACTTCTACTTCCTCTATGTAGTTCTCCATGGCACAAATCTCATAGCTAGGGTATCTTGATATATTATCATCTAAAACTACAGCTCTGTCTTCATCTTCATGCAATGAATTATCACAGTCTACTCACTAAGTTTCTGAATGCCAAACATAGATGGATGCAACAGTGCTAAATTGAAACTAGAGAGGAAGAATCTATAACCTATAAATTTTACTTCTTTCTTTTTTCCAGAAAAAATACAACATGAATCACCTCTACAATTTGGCTTCTAAATTATTATGGATGATACCATGTTTGGATCAGAGTTCCAGCAGCATCTGCATGAAGTAGCTTCCTCAGATTAGGAATCAAGTTGCCTATTCCTTTGAGAAATGGACGACTTGGATGGATGGAATCTTACCCTAATTTACCTTTCTAGGCTTCAAATGATGAGAAGGATCTTCTATTTAATGCTT